CTAACCCCGCCCCAGCTGATAATGGAGTTGACTGCGTGGGAGTAGCAACGGAATCTCAAGCTTGCTCTGTTGACGGGTGCTGTACTGAAAGTGTTTGCTACAGAGGTGACGCACCTTATAGTTATATCGCGCTAGAATTTGGCTCATCACTGACGTCTCCCAACGGAAATTATACATTTATGATGCAGCAGGAAGAAAACTTGGTGCTTGACTGCAATGGAAACTCGCTTTGGTCCTCTGGAACTGACGGTGCAACCGTATCAAAAGGACTTGCCTTCCAAGCTGATATTAACCTCGTCATATACAGCACAGAAAGTGGAGCACTCTGGGGCTCGAATACTGCCAACACCGAAGGCACCAAGTTGCAAGTGCAGAATAGCGATGACGTCGTCCTCTACAGTGACAACCTAACAGACGTCTGGAGTACAGGGACTGGTGGCAGATGTGACCCGATTGATGGTGGATGGAGTGACTATGGAGACTGGTCTGACTGCTCAGTATCTTGTGAAGATGGAACGCAGACAAGAACTAGATTCTGTACTAACCCCGCCCCAGCTGATTACGGAGCTGACTGTGTGGGAGAAGCAACGGAATCTCAAGCTTGTTCTGTTGACGGGTGCTGTACCGAAATCGTTTGCTACAGAGGTGACGCATCCTATATCGCGCTAGAATTTGGCTCTACACTGACGTCTCCCAACGGAAATTATACATTTATGATGCAGCAAGAAGGAAACTTGGTGCTTGAGTTGGCGGGTTATCGGGAAACGTCTCCAAAAATCGAGCAAGTGATACCTTGAAGGGTCCTAGAGCAGTTAAACTGTTTACTTGTCGTGGGAGGAGGTTCCATAGTCTCGCTGCATTCACTCCAATGGAATTCTCAGATGTTACAACTTACAGTATAAAAACCAATGTTAAATTGTTTTACAAACAATAATAGTTAAACATGATACGATCACTTCTACATATTTAGAACCCAATTATAGTGTTCAACAGTTTTGTTTGTTTTGTTTGGACATATTTATAGATACATGAACATATCAACTAACAATTACATAAGTTAACTCATTAACGTGTAATTGAAGTGTGTAGCTTATACCTCCACACTTTCAATTCTAGTATTAGCAAGGCTGGTAACTGGAGTGTAACTGAGTAAACAAACAGTTTCCGGTATAGATAGAGGGTTCAGGAATGCGTGAGTTTATACCGTTATTTCCATCCAGACCTCAACCAAGACATGGTGGTTTTTGCATGTCTAGGTCATAAAAAGGATGACCCGTAAACTGGACTGGGGACCCAGCATGGAAGTAGGGGGTGATCTCCCCCTGCGGGAGCGCTGCCCAAATTATCAATTTGTGCAGTCTTGTAGGAATTTTGCCTAAAGAAATTTGAAGAAATGTAACAAAACTGATACTGGAATAATAATGGAAACCTATTTGTTCTAGTAATACATCTGTGGTAGATTAACCTTGTAGAATTAAAATTAAAAACCATACATTTCATTATTGAAATATATTATATCTTTACTACATCAGGAATCTAATGTGACTATAGCACCGACGTCCGACATGTTGTCATGAAGGAAATCAGAGCCCTATTGAGCGATCTAGAAGCTCAATTTACTTTCAAAGAGAAGCATCGTCTGAAGCCAAGGGCATGCACAAAATGTGGCACAATTCGTAATTTTGCACATCTGTTAAAATTTACGATTGACAATTTCTCAGAAATGTTCAGTAAGTTAAAAATATCTCTCCCGTTGTCAGTCCTGGAGGGTCTCCCATTGGAATATGACTTCTGGCGTTGCATATCAGACGGTACAAAAATGAGCAAACAGTGCGCATTAAACTCATTTTCCAGCAACTTCTATTCAGACATAAGCCATAAATTTGGCATCTCCAAAGGCCCTGTAAAACACGTCAACACTCAACAACAACCTGACATAGAGCCTGCTGTTAAAGTTGCTGCAAGTGATTTTAATAATGAAGCAGAAACTATGACTTTGGAGAATAACACATGTTTCCTAGATAAAAGCTTTTTTGACAGTTTCAAATGCCACAAGTGTGGAGAATGGTTAGAGATTAAAAATGTTAGATCATTTAGTGTCAACAACTTGTGGGGTTCGCTAGAAATAGAGTGCACCAAGTGGTACATCAACTGTCATTTGACTACTGTGGAAAATCCTCAAGCCGCTCTAGCAAGATATCTTTCCTCTGTAGATGCCGTGGGAGGATTTGTTTCTACATCAGAGAAGCTCTTCCTCTGCAACGACTTGTTGCCACCCCGATATCACCAGGCCAAAGAGAGATATGTAAAAGATATCGATGTAGCAGTTGTGAAGGTTGCGTCTCAGTCTGTTGATAGGGCTCTAAAGGAGGAGAAGGAGTACAAAGAAGAGCTCACTGTCAGAGGAGATTTTGGCTGGCATCAGCGAGCAAATATGAATGCGCAGTCTGGTAATTCCTATCTTTTTATTACTGAAGTTTGAGCACACAGTAGAACCATTCAATCGTCTTTATATCAGCATATTCTTTAGTTTCATAAATAAATGAATTTACATCTTCACACCACCATTCCTAACATGGTAATTTCTAGGAGATATGGTGCTGGTAGGAGAAAAAACCAACAAAGTAGTGTCCTACTCCTATAAGTACAATGTATTTTCGAGAATTTGTAGCCTTCGCCATAGGAACGCAGATAAGGGACACGAGGGCCCCACAGTGGGGCTCCATGCTGACATTTAGCCTAAAAACGAGTTTTCCTAATGTTTTAGATTGTTGTAAATTCTGATAGAGAATAAATAACCGGATTCAATGCTTTTAAAATTAGCTCAATATCTCGGTTGGGTCAAAATTTACAACCATTTGAAAAGCGCGCCTGAAAATAATCTGCCTGCACATGCCCAGAAATTCAATTTCACTGCCATTTTTGAGTCAGGCTGAGGTTCCTTTTGTTTTCAATGTTTTTCAACTTTTGATTGATTGAACATGGATATAAGCATTCTTAGTACTGTTTAAGAAGAAAAAACCGTGATTTCGGTCAATTTTGGATTTTTGGTAGCTAAAATTAGAATATTTTTCAAAAATAGGCCTTAAAATTTCATTCGCTGACCACAAATGGGTGGTAAAGTTATAAATGGCCCCATATGGCCCGGGTTTCATTATGTTTTCTATGTTTTCCCATAATTTTTCTAGCAGAACCCAGAAGATTTGGCTTCGGAACGCTTCGGAAAAAAAAATTATGACCCATTTTTGGTACGAGCCTGAGGTGAAAAATCGCATCAAAATAGCGCGAAAAATGAAAACTGATAGATTAAAAACTGATTTTTTCATTTATTTCATAGCTTTTTGGTGCACACTTCGATATTTTATGCTAATACCAGCAAAGTTCAATTGGAATAAGCAATATTTGGATGGAAAAATAGTGCATATGAGCCAAAAATAGCCAAAATCTGGCAATTTGAGCTCGGAAAATCCAGGGGCAACTCTGATTTCATAGGATTTTTCTTATGTTTTTGTCATATTGCATAGTTTTTATGGTTCTCCTTTCTGAAATACCCTTAAACAATCACATCAGCATGATTGATGACCATTTCCATACGAAAAAGCAGAAAAATGGGACAGAAACCGCTTAAAATTCGATGAAATCTTAAAACTGCTAGTCAAAAAAGATGCTTTTTGTGTGACAGAAAGTGCCAAATTTTCGAAAAAATTGATTTTTTGCCCAAAAAAGTAGTGAAAGTTGTCCAATTTCACTGAAATAAGTCATAATTGACGATTTAATCCAAATTGACACCACCAAGATGTGGCCAGAGGCATAAAAGGGCAAAAAAAACAAATGTCATCATGCCCTTTACGCGAGCCCCACTGTGGGCCCGTGCAATAGCAACTTTGACGGTACTGCAAAATCAATGGAGCCAGTCGGGATGGTGGAATGTTTGACAGACATCAAAAACCGTAATTTACAGTTGCAGAGCTTATAGTTGATAATGATGGCAATACCATGGCAGCATTCAGCAATTCAGGTAATCTCGAAAAATACTTTTACTTTTACTTGAGAATGAAATGTGCTTGTTTCGTTGTTCCTCGAATTTCCTAAATTTAAATCTAAAATGCCTGATGTCAACAGTACCTTCTTCAGCTAATACTTACAGTAATATATAATTCAGTCAGCAGGATTCACTGATGTCAACATCACACGGGATAGAAATCATACAGTGAAGAATCTTACCGCAAGACTGATGAAAATCTTCCCTACGGCTTCACAGACTCGAGAGTACTTCTTAAAGAAAGTGAAATCCCCCCTTTTATATGGTTGAGATGCTCAGTGGCTGAGCAAATTCTATGTGTTACCACTTACCAAGCACAATGGTATTGTTTGAATGACCTTATCTAGTGGGTGCTGCTATCCATCAGATCTCAAGAGTCAAGAGTATTAGAGTATCGGAGATTTAGGGAGAAATGACATTCTGGAGCGGTTCTATTCTTCGTTGAGCACTAGGATATGTCTCGCTTCAATGTTGTCTATGATGTTTTCCGGTTGTATTTGCGCCAGGAGCTTGGTAATATAACGGTCAGAAGTACGGCTACAGCATCAATGTTGGTATTGATAGATCATTCTCTACCTAGGCCGGTATGTCAAGATCTCTGATCTATCATGCATTTGTGGATGAACCAGGAGCTGAGCAGGCTAGAGGGAAAAGGAGTGCGACAATCGGAAAATGTCGATTACGTAATCAGTAACGTCCAATACTATTCGTATTTGCGGAATCCAATTTAATTGGGCTGCTGGCCGGCGCCGCGCGCGTCAAGAAGGGGTTAGTGCGCGCGAAAATAACAAAACTTGTATCACTATAGAAGACAAGCGTCTGACGCTAAATTATGTATTGCGGTGGTACCGGCCACTTCTCTAAATAGCATATCACTAATGTTTTTCATCGACGTCTTACTTAACTTAAGAGTCAAGCAAAAGAAACACAAAATTACCCATAAATTAAAGGCCTTAAATGATAATACATTTCCAATTTCAGAGCAGGAAACCAATTATTTCCAAGTGTACAATTTGTATTACAAAATTCTGAGTTCGCAACAGCATTCAAAACAAATATAGAATTTAATTAACCGGTCCGAATAACATTTCATATACTTTCTACTGTTACTTTATAATCAATAACGTTTCTAGAACAGCTTCTCAATAAAAACTGGGTGACTAACATATGAAAACAAACTGAATTAGTCAATAGTTTCGCCATATTATGTATAATATCAACCTTATCGCACTATCATACATATAACATAACTCTTTAGACGTTTTCAACCTTAATATCAAAAAATAACCAATCAAACAACTTAGATAATTAACATATTTGTTTTCAATACAAACTCAAGATTTAGTTTTAAGCTAAATCTGTGAATCGAGATTCGATTTTCTACAATTAAATGTCTATTTATTATTAATTAGAATCTTCAATTTCTATTTGAGTTTGTTAAGATCACAGTAATTTCATTGTCTGTTTCTTTTAGAACTATGAACTGTTTCTAAAAACTCGTCCAACAAGTTCTCAGCTTTCCGTTTCCTACTGACGTAATATGAGGGGGCTGAAGAGTGGGGTGGTGTGGAGGGAGGAGAGGGCGACTGCTGTCTGCTGTTCTGACCTTCTCTGCTCTGTCTGTTCATCTGAAGTTCTCTGTTTGGCCTACCATTCTGTCCCTCCTGCCGAGACTGCAGCCCGCTTGGCTCCCCGTAGGTATTTCGTGGGGATGCCAGGCTAGAAGATGGACCGGAGCGGGGTGAGGCGACCCCGAGACTGGATAGCACGCAGCTTAGATCGTCACTCTCGTTATCAGATGTAAGGGGCGTGGTGGGACAGTTCTTACGTGCTAGTTGTTCTGTACAAAGAGTTTATTTTTAGGGGGGGGGGGGGGGGGGGGGGTATCAGATACGAGATTTTTGATCTTCACAATATTGTATTTGAAAAAGTGTGGAAAGAAAAAAACTGATAAAAGAAATGCTGAACTGAACTGCAACTAGCTCGATTAAGGAGCTTTAAAACAAATTACTTACTCAAAAAATCAAGTCTGTTAATCTTTCTTTTCTTCCTCTTAGACCATGTTGATAAGTCTCTTCTGTAGGCGACTTTTCCGTACTGTTGACCTAGTTCAAATGCTCTCTCAACCGCGTCTACACTATCTGATAATTTTTAAAATATTGAATTTAGTCCTAAAAGCAATCAAATAAATGATTAAGAAAAGAAAATTTTGAAATGTCCGGCAGCCTGCTTTAATCTTTCAATTATTTATAGATTCAAAGTTATGTCAGAGGCAGTGAATTTATAATGTCAATCATAAACGCTAGAAAAAATGGTGGCGTGAAAAATTGTGAATGATTTTTATGGAGAAACGAGTTTTGAAATGACAAAATTTCACAATTGTTCACCATTAGAACACCCCTCTCCCTTATGTGACGCAATAGCTAACCTTTGTAAAGCCTGGTGACAGCTATGGAACCCCCCCTCCCTTCCGTGACGCAATAGCTAACCTTTGTAAAGCCTGGTGACAGCAATAGCTAACCTTTGTAAAGCCTGGTGACAGCTATGGCTGACTGCTGGAACTGAAACTGCAATAGCTAACCTTTGTAAAGCCTGGTGACAGAAATAGCTAACCTTTGTAAAGCCTGGTGACAGCAATAGCTAACCTTTGTAAAGCCTGGTGACAGCAATAGCTAACCTTTGTAAAGCCTGGTGACAGCAATAGCTAACCTTTGTAAAGCCTGGTGACAGCTATGGCTGACCTTTGTAAAGCCTGGTGACAGCAATAGCTAACCTTTGTAAAGCCTGGTGACAGCAATAGCTAACCTTTGTAAAGCCTGGTGACAGCTATGGAACCCCCCCTCCCTTCCGTGACGCAATAGCTAACCTTTGTAAAGCCTGGTGACAGCTATAGCTAACCTTTGTAAAGCCTGGTGACTGCAATAGCTAACCTTTGTAAAGCCTGGTGACAGCAATAGCTAACCTTTGTAAAGCCTGGTGACAGCTATGGAACCCCCCTCCCTTCTGTGACGCAATACCTTTGTAAAGCCTGGTGACAGCTATGGAACCCCCCTCCCTTCTGTGACGCAATACCTTTGTAAAGCCTGGTGACAGCTATGGCTGACTGCTGGAACTGAAACTGCAGTAAGCTGCTGTTGGTAGCGCCCCTGTCTTTGCACAGCGCTGCTGTGTAGTGAGCTGTGTCCTGGAAGTTTAGCCACAGGATGTGCTGGATGTTTTCTATCTCCTGAGATGATAATTACAATTCGTTAATTAATTATAATTAGATGATAATCATAATCGAGAGTTTTAATACTTTCAACACTACTATATAATAAACAGTTCAAATAATTTGAGGCTTATGTCACTGAAGATGACGCCTTGCAACATGTTTGACGACAGCCTGTAAATTGATAGTTTAATCTCAGTATATAGGACAGGAACCGAGAGTGCCTATTGTCATACTGTCATGACGTTTTGTCGTATATTGGCATATATTGTCAAATCTTGTCGTATATTGTCATAGTTTGTCATATTTCGTCGTTTATTGTCATGACAATGGGCACTCTCGGTTCATGCCCTATATACAACAAACTATCTAATTTGAAGGAAAAAAATCGTCTTATAATTAGGATCTTATTGATTCGTTCTTGCCCAAAATTTAGATATGAATAATCATACTCATCGTTGACAAGCAGCAGTTAGTTCAACAAAACGATTCCCACAATTAAATCTAAAATTAAATACACAATTTGATTTAAAAATTGAGGGACTAACCTGTTTAGCAGTTGTACGTTCACATTCGATCTGAGCTAAGCAGTCTGATTCAGCAGGAGTTATGTAGTTGTCACGTGATCCAGACATATTTTAGCTATTTTAGAAGATGATGTTCAGTTGGGAACTACAAAATGAAACCGAGACTGTTTAAATGAATTATAAAGATATACCCTAAAACCTGTTTTTAGGGTAAAAGTTAGAATTAGAATGTTTGTAGTACCGTTGATATGATATTTTCTATACATGTACTATATTTTTAAAACTTGATGAGATTCTCCGTCAACAGCTTGAAAAAATAGATAAATAAAATTTCGTTGATAACAATTATAGCTGAAAAATCTAGTTGACTCGCGATGTTAATCAAAGTTGTGATATGGTCATATTATGCATATATTGAGCCTGATTATGAAAAGGAAGTAATCTGAATAAAGAGGAACTTTGATATGGAAACTGGAAAGGTGATAGTAGGTTCTCTGGATTTCTGATGATACAGTGTAGGCGACATGATGGAGACATTTAAGCAATCTTCTGACAAAGATGTAAACAAGAACTGACATAAAATAAAAACAAGTTGTTTTTATTATACACGTGTAATTGTTCAAAATGATTACGGTAATTAATATTCCCAACAAAAATGTGACAGTTTTAGTTTTAAATGAATAAAAACTCAATAATACACAATTTGATCACTCTTTTGACATGACAGGTTTCTCTCCAGTGTGAATTAGCTGGTGTCGTCTAAGATTACATTTCTGAGAGAAAGATAAGGAGCATTCACTACACTTGAAAGGTTTCTCTCCTGTGTGAATAAGCTGATGTGTTCTGAGATGAGCTTTTTGAGAGAAAGAAGAGGAGCATTCGCTACACTTATAAGGTTTCTCTCCAGTGTGGATACGCTGGTGTTGTCTGAGATTAGATTTCTGAGAGAAAGATGAGGAGCATTCATTACACTTAAAAGGTTTCTCTCCAGTGTGGATACGCTGGTGTTTTCTGAGATTGGATTTCTGAGAGAAAGATAAGGAACATTCATTACACTTGAACGGTTCCTCTCCAGTGTGAATAAGCTGGTGTCGTCTGAGAGCAGATTTATCACAGAAAGATAAGGAGCATTCATTACACTTGAAAGGTTTCTCTCCTGTGTGAATAAGCTGATGTGTTCTGAGATTAGATTTATCAGAGAAAGATGAGAAGCATTCACTACACTTATAAGGTTTCTCTCCAGTGTGGATAAGCTGGTGTTGTCTGAGATAAGATTTCTGAGAGAAAGATGAGGAGCATTCATTACACGTGAACGGTTCCTCTCCAGTGTGGATACGCTTGTGTCGTCTGAGATTAGATTTCTGAGAGAAAGATGAGGAACATTCATTACACTTGAAAGGTTTCTCTCCAGTGTGGATACGCTGGTGTTTTCTGAGATTAGATTTATTAGAGAAAGATAAGGAGCATTCATTACACTTGAAAGGTTTCTCTCCAGTGTGAATACGCTGATGATTGATCAGACTAGATTTGTAAGAGAAAGATAAGGAGCAATCATTGCACTTGAGAGATTTCTCTTCTGATATTGGATTCATCAACGTTCCTGACAATTTTGTGGAATTTTCCAGCACCTCAGAATCCAAATTACATACACTGCTAATATCTTCATGATGTTCTCTGACATGATGACAAAAGTTCTCCTCGTACAGAAAATGAGCTTTACATTTCGGACAAAGAAAACCATGGGATTTACCTTCTAACTCCTCCTGCTCAGTTTTAATTTCCTTTTTTATTACAGTTGAATTGTTAGGTTTGTAATTCATGATTGTATCAGCAGCCACCACCACTGCATCTGGAGATAATTTCCTCTTTTGTGACATAGCCAATCCTACTGTTAATAATATGAAGTATTAAAACCAATCAATAAGTTGTGGGGTAATTCTAATTATATAATACGTTTAATCATTTAAATAATCGATCAACTTAATTATCACCAACTAAAATTTGACAGTTTGAGTTTTAAAAACAGAATAAATCTAAAATAAATGAATAAAAACTCAGAGATACAAATGTTTGATATTTGTTAAATCAGATACCTTACTCGGGAATATTAAAGCGGGTTAATTTATGACTGGGAAAATTAATGACCGTGAAAAATATGGCGGAATGTTCCAAAACCCACCAAGCATCAAAATGTATTACTATTAGTTTACCTTACTCGGGAACATTATAGCGGGTTAATTTATGACTGGGAAGATTAATGACCGGGAAAAATATGGCGGAATTTTCCAAAACCCACCACTTTATCCCAGTCATAATATTCCCGAGTAAGGTACGTGTAAAATCGTAATTAACTTTAGATAAGTTAAATATCAAATAAAACATGACAATGCAATTTTCATAATACATATTATATGTCGTCAATAATCAATTACTGTGTATTGAAAGTAATTCCCTGATATTGTCAAAAGAACATGCTCATTATTCAACATCTACACTGAGACCACAAAGAGTCTGTTAGTTGTGAGTCATCTTGAACAGTTGAAAACTGAAAAGTTTAATCAAGGGAACATCCCCAATATACATTTGGAAATACTGCTTTCGTCGATAAAGTTGTATTCAATTATATGACGTGTGAATACGTTTGTGTTTGACACGGTTACTTCTGTCAGAACAAGCATATTATTATGATCACTCTTTTGACTTGACAGGTTTCTCTCCAGTGTGAATTAGCTGGTGTCGTCTAAGATTAGATTTCTGAGAGAAAGATAAGGAGCATTCACTACACTTGAAAGGTTTCTCTCCAGTGTGGATACGCTGATGTTTTGTGAGAGCAGATTTATCAGAGAAAGATGAGGAGCATTCATTACACTTGAAAGGTTTCTCTCCAGTGTGGATACGCTGATGTGTTGTGAGATTAGATTTTCGAGAGAAAGATAAGGAGCATTCATTACACTTGAAAGGTTTCTCTCCAGTGTGAATACGTTGGTGTCTTCTGAGAGTAGATTTGTGAGAGAAAGATGAGGAGCATTCATTACACTTGAAAGGTTTCTCTCCAGTGTGGATACGCTGATGTGTTGTGAGATTAGATTTTCGAGAGAAAGATAAGGAGCATTCATTACACTTGAACGGTTTCTCTCCAGTGTGAATACGCTGATGTGTTGTGAGGTGAGATTTCCGAGAGAAAGATAAGGAGCATTCATTACAGTTGAAAGGTTTCTCTCCAGTATGGATACGCTGGTGTCTTCTGAGACTAGATTTGTAAGAGAAAGATAAGGAGCAATCATTGCACTTGAGAGATTTCTCTCCTGATATTGGATTTATCAACTTTCCTGCCAATTTTGTGGAAATTTCCAGCACCTCAGAATCCAAATTACTTACACTGCTTATATCTTCATGATGTTCTCTGACATGATTACAAAAGTACTCCTCGTACAGAAAATGGGCTTCACATTTCGGACAAAGAAAACCATGAGATTTACCTTCTAACTCCTCCTGCTCAGTTTTAATCTCAGTTTTTATTACAGTTGAATTGTCAGGTTTGTAATTCATGATAGTGTCCGCTACCACTGCAACTGGGGATATTTTCCTCTTCTTTGACATATCCAATCCAACTGTTAACATAATGAATTCGATTAAGATCAATCAATAAGTTGTGAGGTAAGTCTTATAATATATTAAACGTTTAATTATTTTAAATTTTAATCAATAAATTAATTATTACCAAGACACCAATTAGTGACAGTTCGAATTTTAAATACGGAACGATTAATTGCTGAGGTTTACAAATTGTTAAATTAATTGTTAATATATTACATTACTACTAGATTATAATATATGTATGTACATCTGTTCTTAACTTTACATCTGTTTATATCTGAATATAAAATATAATTTATCAAATAAATCATGACAGTGCAATTTTAATAATTTAAATTATGCATGCGTCAATAATCAACGCATGTATTGCTAAGGTCTGAACTTACATGTTATTATTATATTATAAAGATTTTTGTTGCCGTTTAAACTTAAAAAGTAAGGTAAATCAAATAATTTCTACATTTCTTATTCGAAATGATATGCAAGTTAGTGAAGACAAGCTTTAGAAAAAAAAAACACGACGATATTATCTTCTTAAACAGATAGAATAAGAAGAGATAAAGCTGAAATTGAGTCCATCAATTCAAATACACAGCTGCAAAATTACCATTAGTTAAAATTATTAACTGCAACAGATTTGACAAATACAAATGTGACATGATAAACAAATCAGTTGTAAGCAAGGGTGTTTATCTCATAACAATTGTCTTCATCAAATCGTCCAAGCGCCTGTGCGGTGAGTGTGGGTTGCAGTGCGGCAGCTGTGATACCCGACAGTGAGTGTAGGTTCTGGAGGTAGAGGGAAATGTTGCTAGCGTTGGGGAGGCTGATGTTTGAGGCTGCACTCTTGGAGATCTCTGCCAGGGGATCTTCCTGTTTTGTGCTGCGAGGTGTTTGCACCTTGACGGGTAAAAGGGTAAATATTTTGTAAAGTAAACAATATTGTCATGGAGAAAATCAACACTGAATTTTTACGTGGAATGTTTATTCTGTAGAGAAATAATTCAGGAATGCAAAAGAATAGTCAAAAATAGAACTTACCAAGTCAGCCCTACTGTAACATTTTATCTCGTCAATACCAAATGATTTCCAATGGGGGGAGGGCTGCTTGCAGATGAACCTGAGTCCCGTCACGTCTTCTGCATCTGCTAACATCTGTGACAATGCAGTGTTACATATTATGTTACAAGTAAGGCAGTGTTACATCTGTTACAAGGCAGTGTTAAATCTGTGACAAAACAGTGCTACATCTGTTACAATACAGTGTTACATCTGTGACAATACAGTGTTACATCTGTTACAATACAGTGGGGCAATATAGTACATACTAGTAACATTTTTTACATCATACTTTATCTAGTGTTATATAATATCATGTGGTACAACAGTTCTCTATGGATATTACATATTAATATTACTAGCAAGTTCGGTAATTTACCTGTATCAACATCATAATTTAAGTGATTTATTACCACCTAAAGATCTAGATTAAAAGTACACTCACCTGGTTGGGACCGAATATCCTGAAGTCTTGACCACCATTTTCACAATGAGGGTCAGGCATGAGCCTAGTTTTAGGAACTAGAGTGTGCCACACTGACCCAGATCTGGGCTGGTCTGGGGGTGCTGAGTTTTCAAGGTTAGCAAGACAGAAAGTGAGAGTGGATAGAGAAAGAAACTGTAAGTTGAAGATAGTGATTGTTGTTATAAAGCTGTTTTGATTTCATTAAAGGTTTTAATCAAGCTATACAGTGATCCCTACAGTGTTATGTTAAATATAAAAGCGAAATGCTATAATTATTTTCATAAATGTTCATAATATTATGTATTATATAATTATAAGTTCCATTTAAAAGTATAAAATAACTAACCCGGAAAGCCAGATAGAGAGCGTTTCCTGAACTTTATAGAGATGTATGCTGTGTAGTTGTTAAAGAACGATATTTCTCCAATCTGAAAGGATCATGATGATCAAGCTTAAAATAATAAAATCAAACATTTTAAGTATGCTGGATTATATTTGCGTTCCGTTATCATAATATCAACGAGACATACCAGTTAAGTGTAAAATGGCTTTCTGCAAGCTTTCCCGCTTGCTCAAGAAAAAGGTAATAGTTATGGGACTGGTTTTCGGTATTATACCGAAAACCAGTTCCATAACTATTTGTCGGCGGCACTATAATACTATAATAGTGCCGCCGACAAAACGCTGACGAAGTAAACTAACTGTTCAAGTTTTTTAAATCGGCCAACAATAAGTGGATTCATTGGTGGTTTAAAACTTATGTTGGTCATTTATCCCAGCTAAACTATGAAAAACCATAAACTTATGGGGGAAACAGACACTTACATGTACGGTAGCACCATGAAAATTAAGGTCGATAACTTTACACCCACTGTTATGATCCCCAATAGGGAGAGATATAGGAGATCTGAGAGAGGACCTCAGAATAGTGTCTTCTGGGGGCGAGGTCTTGCAGCTGAACATCCTAAGGAAACTGGGTTTATGACTCAAACATGTTGGGGCAATTAATGAATCATCATAGTGTCAGATGTTTACTTGAGAAAGTGGAGCCATTCTGGTAGAAATTCCAAGTTATTGTCAAGCATTCGGGTTGACTGCAGTTATAAGTTGAACAATCACAAACCAAAGGACTTGATAAATTACGTTAAAGCTGTAGTAAAAAATTCAATAACTTAAATCAAAATCACAATTCCTGTTATCAATATATAAAAAGGCTCAGTTCAACAATAAAAAGGAACTGATCAAGCTAATACTGCAGAGACAAATGTTTTAAAATGCCTTCATGTAGCTAGGGTAAGGAGTCAATCAAAATGTCTCGCTTTTTTCTTCTCCTCCTCAGGCTCAGTATGCTGGTGTATTCTGAAGAGTTGGGAGTACAGTTTCTTTTCCTTCATATTAGTACCATCTACTTCTATTCTGAACTCTCTATTACCCATATCGTGCCCTGTAAATGGTTCTGTCAAAACTCCCTCCTACTTGTAAACTTGTAATAATACAATTCTTTACTCATATAATAGGTTTGTTTTAAAATTATTCAGTTATTCGGTATACTGGTTGAAAGATGTGCATGTGAAGGATCAGTGCATAAAGAGATAAAGCAAGCCAGTCAATTTGAGTTGTGATACAATCGCATGTTGCTAGCAAATTCGCCTGTTAGAAGAAAGTGAGAACAAAAGAAATTGTCGTATGCAAGACAATGAGAATAATTAGATAAATAAATAGACCGATAAGCTGACAGACTCTTACTTTATTATGTAAAATAAGTAAATTAATTACCTTCCACTTGTGTGATAATAGCATGAGGAGATTTCAAGTCCGACATTCCTTTGACAGTTTCATTCACAATCTCTTTACGGCTCATACTCCTTGCAGTTAAAGGTCGCCCTTGAAATATCAAATGTTCTGAAAATATGGTAGTGAAATATCGCTTTGAATATAGGATCGTAAAATGAGTTACCATTTCTTTTTCAGATACTACCAAGGACTAATAAAATCTATTGGCTATTTAGAACAATCTGTCCTGTTACGGTATTTATAAACGTCAAATATTTCCAAGCACAACTTCAAAAATTCAAAACAAAGATTTAAAATTGAGTTTCAAAAGAACATCGAGAATTTGAGAGAAGACATACGTACTTATTTACTACAAAAACCCTACCTTGAGTATGAAACCCATGCTTATTCTGGGCAGTTGTTATTCGCCTAACTCCTGTAAAAACATTTTGTAAGTACATGCTTACATTGCAGATTATATTACGTATGTCGCGTCATTTGGTCAAAATAATCCGATAAGCGGTTAAAAAAACTTTGAAATAACAGCTGATGATGGTTGAAATTAAACAAAGAAACAACATTTTGAACGAAACTATTTGCTGGTTATCATCATTGCTTGCCTATTGATGGGTCGTATGGTCCGTACGTTTTCTCTTTACACAGACCGGTAAACGATTCAATATAAATCTTCTTCTCCTTCCGATTAAAATACAATCTTTTTATCGACCTTAAACGTTAGCTGGTGTTAATAAGGAAGTGCAGAGAATTATTTCTTAAATTGAAGGCAAGTAATATCCGAAAGGCCGAGTGCTACAATATCATGGTAGGAAAAGACTTGTACAGTAAAACTTCAAGCTTAACTAGTTTTACACTGTAAAACTAGATAAGCTTGAAGTTTTACTTCAGTCGCAACCCATAAACTCCATGCGGGAACTAATAATTTGAATATGTTTTGGTTTATGAACCTCTCGGCTCTCTATTTTACAGGAACACTAAAAAATTGGATTTTTGACGAAATCTCACGTTATCAGTTACATACTAGAAATTCTGGAATCATACCTTTTGGATTGGTATTTAGCGTAGATGAGACCTCCTATAAGAATAAGTATCAATATACCCGATCTTTTATACCATTCCTGGGTTGGAGGTTATATTGTTAGATCATCCTGTAACGTATTCTGGTTTGGAGGATAGCCTGTTCTTTCCGGTCACCCCCGGGTCATTTAACATAACATCTTCTTAAAGACTAGTAATCGAATGGGCGAATAACCAATGCAATGCGCAGCCTCAGAGCCTTGCACAGCCTTCTCAACTGTTGCAACCTATCTTACTAATAATACTTAAACCTCTTGTAACCTCGCTCTACCTCCTTGTACCTCACTAAACCTCCTTGTACCTCACTATACCTCCTTGTACCTCACTATACCTCCTTGTACCTCACTAAACCTCCTTGTACCTCGTTGAACTAACCGTGATGTCAAAGCTATTCTCATTCCGCAACACCAGATCACAGTACGCAATAAAACACACGATAGGCAGTGACACTGTCATGTACATGATAAAGGCTCTTATTGCACGTGGGGCGTTGTGGTCTGCTAACAGTTTACTCTCGTACACTACTATACCGTACTCTGAGGGAAAAAGCACGTGCTGTTAAGTTATTAAAACTCTGAAGAATGGTCTTAATTAAGATATTGTGCTCGTTGTGCTCATATTAGGAGATAGTTTTAATGATTAACTAGAGGAAAGCACTTGACACTCTAGATCTGAGGCATGTAGACATTTCATGTTCCAGTTTTCAAGCTTGAACGTTTTAAAAATATACGACGTGATTCTACCTCAAAACCGCGACAAGATGATTATAAGGATAATAGTGGCAACACTTGAATTTAAAGAGTATGACGTGATGAAAAATCAGATTGAACTAAACAACAAGTTAAAAACTCATGTAAAACTATTGAACTAAACAACAAGTTAAAAACTCATGTAAAACTAACTGCTGGCTTTGAGCTGAGATTGTGTGACGAACTGAGGTTGATTAGCTTTGTACTGAATATATCTAACGCCAACTTTGAGGTTACCATAGCAACGTCGACAGAAAGTTACCATAGTACGCACTAATGTAACACTGGTATAACTGCGTGATGTTGGGTGTATTAACCTCTGAGTCAGGGCGGCAGAGTTCATTTCTGTTTAAGCTACGTCAGTTAGAGTAAAACAAGAGAAATAATTATGAGGGCTCATTATTACTTTATTCACAAAATAGCAGTGATAATCATTATGGAATTACAGTTGTGACATTTTTTAAACGTTTTTGAGTTTTCTAAAGGTTAAGAAAAGTTTCGGCACGTGTTTGAGCGGAACCACTCGACATATAGAAAAAACCAGGTTTACAAATTTCATCACTCGATGAAAAACAATAAAAAATATATATAACTTTCAAACTTTAAAACTGAATAGATGCTAGGTCCACTCCAAACTGTTTCCAGCAAAATCATTATAAAATAATATACAAATTGGGGGCAAATCCAGGTTTAAACTCCCAGTTAACCCTCATCCTCGTTATAACAGCGAAAAAGTTCGAGACATTTTCATTGTGAACCTCTCCATACTTCAGATTGAGGTAGTGGTTTAAAACCGGTATCTGGTGGTTATCACAAGTTGCGCTTTCTGATAGAGGGTGATTGTTAGGATCACTTACAGTGCTATCTATAGAAACAATACTAACGCTATAATTTAATGACTAAAATTTATTGGACTATCAATTTATTTCGTCTAATATAAAATTATTAAGACGAAATAAATTGATTAACCACCAACCATTATTCGACAAAATAACAGTCCCCAATTTAGGTGTGAGCCGAAGATGTTTGTCTGATTCCAAGAAGTCCATCTTTGTAATTCTAGTTTGTCAACGTTCGTTATAGCCAGACTTGCAGCGTCCTGAAATAGAAAACAAGGATAACTTGGTTATATCACAAGCGTAGATTATAACGACGCATACATCGAGGAACTCACTAAAAAATGAAATGAATTTAAAAAATAACATTTACACGGATGCATATTTCAAAGTTAAAAAAAGTTCCGCTAATTTATCATCAAGAAGTTATTGATTCGTTGATATTATCGAAAACAAACACAATCGATCACAAAACAAGTACCTATTAGGACGGACCTAAAGTCGAGCAGATTGAGAATAATCAGAGCACTGAACACAAACTACACAAAACCAATCCTATAAGGGAAGAGAATCTTCTTCTAGATGTACTGAACATATGGTATTTTTAATACCATAAAATTTGGAATCTCTACTATAATTCAAAGAATTCTTTCTGTTGTCTTATGTACGACGCCACGTGCAAATTAGATGAAAGGAATAGGAATATAGGTAACAACCAAAGTTCCATAGCACCGCGGTGGATTAATGCACACATGCCGTTGCATGATTGTTGTATTTTTTTTATTTAACGTCCTTTTGATCGTTTTGTGGTAATTACGTTTCTTTAAAGGTGTTTATATTAATCGGCAAGAATCTTCGGTTGAGATGGATATTTTTTGATGCGATTAAAACTTTCAAAGAATACTACTAGCTTCGTCCTATACCACGGCAATTCTAGTAATTATGATAATACAGAGAATTATTTTTGTCCCGTACCCTGTCTGTACGACCCGCCCACCGACAATTAATGAAAATAGGAAGTTGCTAGTAACCCAAGTAACGAGGATTTTTACAACAACGCACGCACGTGCAATATTGTTTTACACGTCTTTTAATCGTTTTGTTGATATTACCTGTTTTAGTACGTTAGCAACATTTTATTTGGCTGTACTTTCGGTTATGTAGGATATTTTTTTACGCCATTTAAACTTACCAACAAAAAATACTATTAGCTTTCCTCCTTGACCACAGGGTATCTAGTCTCCTATACTATAATTCAGAAAATATTTCTGATGTTGTTGTCTGCCGACCGCCCACTGCAAATTAGATTAAAAATAAGAAGTTGCGCATAATAACCATGGTAACTGATGATGGTTACACGCACTTGCACGTGCCTGATTGTTAAAACGCATTTTGATCGGTTTTGTTGATATCACGCGTGTTTATACAGAAGCAACTTTTACATATTCGGCTGTATCTTCGGGGGGATGATACTTTTGACACGATAAAACTGAACTAACAAAAAATACTATTAGCTCCTCCCTAGGACCACGGGTTTCTAGTTGTTAAAAAAACTGATCCTCTATACATCCAACCATAAAAATAAAACTGTAATGAACTGAAAATCTTTTTAAGATTCTTACTGTCAGTGCTTTTACTCATATTTTAATGTACAGCGATGACAGGATAACTGACATTATGTCTGAATCCGATAGCTTTTTCATGACTTTCACACGAAATGTGGAGAGAATACCTCCTATTGCAATTGGTGCGAAGAGGATTCTCTAATCAACCAATTAGCCTTTCTAAAGTACGACTGGCCCCAAAAAAAAATATTAGGGAAAAAAAATCAAACTAGTTGGGGCTCGTCAGCACTCTGGGTGCAATCCACAGCACGTAGCTAGTTCCGGCACCAAAACTAATAAAAAAAGTTTATATTTTATATCACGGAATTTGAATTAATATTTCTTGTGTTTTGAAAAGAACTAATTTCATGAGTATATGACGTAAAATTCGGACATTATTGACATAATAACTACATGTTAGGTGAGTTAAAAACTATTTTGTAAATCGTATTAAAAATTCGCTAAAACTTAATTTGGCTCTTACCATTAACTGTCAAAACGTCAGCTTTAATCAAACTAACTACAACCTACATTGATCAGTCTAACAATAACAGCCCCAGAAACACCCAAACCAGTCCCCAAGGTCCCACTAATCCAAAGACCCCAGGGCTGTCCACTTTATCTTGTACATCAAGACAGCTCCCTTGAAGTTGGGTTTAGTGGTGTTTCTAGCACCTGGTCTGTTGGCTAGGTGTCTCCTACAGAGGGTAAGGTGAGTGTCTCCTGGCTAGGTGTCTCCTTACAGAGGGTTAGAGGGAGTGTCTCCCCTGCTAGGCTGTCTCCTACAAGGTGAGAAGGGAGTGTCCTCCCTGGCGAGTTTCTCCTACAGAGGTTGAGAGGAGTGTTCGGGGAGTAGCCGGTGCACATCCGATTATCTTTACCTATATCAATCGATGTATGTTAATTTGGTACAACTTGGTGAAGTTAATAGTATATAGTAGAAATATGATGAAACCAAAAATATCTAAGTTTATGGATGACTTTGATGGATACCTGACATCTTCTGCTTAAAACTGGATCTCAACATATTTGTGTGACTTTAAATTTCCATGTAGAAGACGAATACAATAATGCCTGCCCAAACGTTATATGCTCTTTGTGAGAGCAAAGGCTTCCTCAGCATTTCGACTCTCCGACTCACGATCTCCGGCGGACACTGACTTGTTATTATCTCAGCTGTGTAAGTGACTAATTCTGTAAACAGATAAGATGGTAGAGACAAGCACTGGAACCAGCCTACTGATCACTATCATTAATTTTTCATGTCCCTCAACATTCGATCTTCATAAGCTCTGTCCAATAATGGAAGAAAATGATGTCAGAGAGAGCTAAGCAAAATTGACATCGATATTTCAGAAGATCTTTTTGTTCATGCTTAACCTTTCTGATATCAATCCTTAGACGAGGCGTGAACCTTTATCAAAATGTCCTTGAACAGGTGCTAGACAAACATGCCCCACTTATACGAAACGATTTACTGCTGAAAAGTTCTGATTTGGGATAAATAAATGTCAAAATTGCTGTCAGAGAGAGGAGAAGTGCAAAACGAAAGCCAAAAAGTATCCAGAAATGAACATATTTAAAACTATCATTTGAAAAATGTGTTGACGGCAGAAAAGCACTATCAATCGAGCGTGAGGAATGGCTACTATAAAAACAGCTCAGTTCTTGCCAAGAGACCTCGAAGGACCATAAAAGTCATAAATAAACTTTTAGATAAGGAATATGGCTCCAAAAAGTCCAATGTTGAAGATATTCGAAGTGCTGCCAAACTCAAGACTTTCTATTCTTCGATCAAAAATAAAGACCATTACTCTAATATTGAGAAGGAAATTCAAACACTTCCCTAAACGTCAAGTACCAAGACTCTACTTCGATAGATTAATGCATAAGTTAAGACTTAATCAGTTTAAGGAAGTCCATTATCAGATCTTGTAACCTTAATTAAGCAGTCCATTTCCCAATAAATTCAAGCGTACTCGATTCATACCAATTAGCCGTCTTCAAGACTGCTGTACCCGATCTTCTCCCAATCATCCATTACATCGTGAAATGAATCACAAGAGTCGGAAAGTTCCATCGTGCCCTAAAATAATCATCTATTCGCCCTGGACTCAAGAAACCTTACCTTAGATGTTGATGAGCCTGAAAAACTATCGACCGATTAGCAATCTAACTTATCTGTCCAAAATACGTAGAAAAAGTAGTTCATTGCCAATTAAATGAATATGCTGATGTCAACAACCTGTTTCCCCCCATATCAATCAGGCTATAGAAATTCCATAGTTAGTTGAAACTTGCAGTTTGTTACCAAAATACATAATGTATTCCTAATGATGATTGACAGCAAAATCGAATGTTGTGCTTCTACTCTTAATCTATCAGCTGCTTGCGACACCATAAAAACCATAAACTCCGTTCTAACGAAACTCAAGAATGCGTATGGTATAACAGAACTGAGCACTCCAATCTGTTCAATTTACCTTAATAATCGCACATTCAATTAAAGGAAAAAAAAGCCACATCTTCTGAAGCGATCTGGATATTGGTGTACCCAAGGATCCATTTAAGGACCACTACTGTTCATATTGTATACAGAATCCTTGAAGAAATTGCACAAAATATGGTTTCTCTCTCGATACATGTGTATCTCAATGACACACATGTGTACTTCACTTTTTGATGTTCACAGTTCTAATCCTGATTTTGATCAGCTTGTGAAAAATTGCTTCCCTGAGGAAAACAATGGATGACAGTTAATTTCCTAAAACTAATAATGAAAAAACAAGTTCATTGATATAGGTCCCATATGTCATCCAATCCAGACAATGGATTTAAGACTCTCAATCGCCCTGTTAGCAAGGCCAAGAACTGGGATTCCTTTTCGATACACCCAAATGAATCTGGACTCTCAAATAAATGCTGTCTCCAAAGTTATTTTATTGAATCAAAGGACTTAGCAGATCCGGTTCGAAGCTTTCCCCATGGACCTATAAAGTTCAGTTTAGTATCACTCCAATATCCTCTGTTTCATAGACTACGAACCAGTCTATATGTATAACAAAAAGACTCCATAAGCTACAAAAGATACAGAACGAAGCTGCTAATTAACTTTGGACTTTACGAGAAAAATATCGTGCAACCTATCATGCCTTACCTCCAAAAGCCCACTTTCTGCCTGTTTCGTTCAGAACTAAAGTTCAAAAATATCACTTCTTCTGGTCTTCAAGTGTCTTAATAACAAGCCCCTCCATACTTACAAGACACTCATCTAAGGGAAGTAACAAACGAAGTTCCGCAAACTAGATAATGACTTTTATTTAGGTTGAAACCTCCGCTCCTCATTTCAGACGAAACAGAAGCCTGCATTTTATGTTTTGTGGACCCAAAAATTTGGACTGAACTACCCTACTCATGAAACATTATCATCGTAGACTGTTTAAAAATGCCCTAAAGCGTTTTATTTCAACACTTTGTAATATATCTAATATTGTCCATAATGTTCTGAACTGATGTGAAAGTGCATATTTTGTAACTTCATACAAATAATATGTTTCATAAAATTTTTCTGAACTGTTTAAAAGTCCATAATCTTGTATTTTTATCAACACTAAGTCCCGCTTGAATGACTTAATAAAGGTTGTGGGACATCTTTGTTAGGTATATTTAATGTCGATAGCGTTGTAATAAATGTTCGAATAGCATTAATTTATTTATATATCTAGAGCAGAGCAGTAGACAGTTCATAATTATTTCCATATAATTAACAATTTCCAGGTTCAAACATGACAATTTTTTCGATTTTTACATCTAGGGCGCCTAACAAAAGCGAAAGAGTAAAACGATAAAGGTATCTGATGTATACATGATTAAAGTTTAAAATACCTGTTTATCATAGAATATATTTAGAGATATATTTAATGATTGAATAATCAAGGACAAACAAGAATAATAAGAGAAATTCAAAATTAAATGTCTCCAATAGTTTGTTAAACATTTATAATAATAGATAATTTATATCAAACCGATAGATGATTTTGAATGCGATTTATAATTCTAATAAAGTATACAAATTCAAGTACAATCGGAGTCTTTATAAGAAGAGATTCGGAAATTAATTCAAGTTTTTGATTCCTCGGCCAAAAAGCCCCTCGAACCAATAGTCGCTTAGTTGAACCTTGTACACTTCACAGGTCACAGAAACAGCAGCAGGTCATAGTCAACATACTGCATAGCAACAGCAATAGTTACTGCATAGTTACTGCATAGTTACTGCATAGTTACTGCATAGCAACAGCATTGTTCCCATAGTAACTACTGCATAGCAACAGCATTGTTCCCATAGTTTTGAAACCACAGTTCATAGTTTAACTAGTAACATAGTTAGTTAACATAGTCTAGTTACCATTAAAACTTGTATATTATCACTTTATCCAACATGAAGTTATACGTCAAATGAATATCTGAAGCAGAGTGCTACAATAAGAAACATCTGCTTTTGTTAATTGATATTTCTAGGATTTGATATCATGCTGACCATAGGATCCACACCACTACTACCACTTGGTTGGGGCTCATGGTACAAATCCTGGCCGACATTCTTAAACAACCTGGTTATATCCAGCTGTCTTGACATCACGTCTCTGGTTGTCATGGCGATATCTGCAGCCATGGCGACATCAGCGGTTGTCATGGCAACCACCTGGTTCATGTGGTCGGTGAGAGTGGTGGCTGTTTTAGTGGTGAACATGTTGGATATCTTGTTTTGGTGGAGAGCGCTGAGACCATCGTGTTGGTGTACCAGGCCACTAATTATTATTCTGTTGAGAACCACCAGCAATGCCGCCACCACCACCGCTACTACTGCCACCACCAATGCCACCACTCTGTCTGACCATGGTATTGGGCGTGACATTGGCATTGCCAGAGTTGCAGCTGTTAATAGGATGCAAGTTCTGTGTCTGTTAAAGTTAGCCTTGTCCGAGCAGTTGTAGCTGCATAGATCACACTGAAACTCCCTATTCCCACAGTGGTACCTCATGTGCTTGTTGAGGTGGGTCTTCTGCGAGGCGGAGAAGGGACACATGTGACACTTGAAGGGTCGGATATTGCCGTGGTCATGGCTGTTCCCTTGAAGTTGCCACGGTTCATGGTCACGTAGTCACAGTTCCCACACTGAGAGGGCTCTTTGGAGGCGCTGTGTTGGGCCATGTGACGGAGCAGCTCCTCGAATGTAGGCGCTGTAATCCGACATCTCCTGCAGAACAGCCCCTGTACTGAATCCCCCGCCGTTTTGTTGCGCTGCTTGAACCTTTTCTTTCCGGACTTTTTGCTTATGCGCATGCGTTGCTTCCCTGCCTGGGCCTCCAGTGCTCGCTCGGACTCGAAGTGCTTCTTAGCGTGGAGCTGGAAGAAGACCTCTAACATAAACACTGCTGGACACTTGTCACACTTGAACGGACCGTTCTTGTGGTAAAGACCCCCGTTGAGCGATGAGTATGATCAATGGAGGGGAGTACACGCTGGGTTGAGCTCCGTTGTACAGAGAGTTGTCTGCTGCAGTGGCGTATCCACACACACACTCTGGATGTCGTCACATCTCAGCTGTTGCAGTTTTAGTTACAGTTGATCCGTCCCATAGCAATGGGTCGAAAAGGTTCAGTACCTGGTGTTGTGGGATTTGTGAGTTGGGAAGTTTGCAGTAAGTACAAGTGATATAAAAAGTTGGATTTCGCATTTGATTTCACAGTGAGATATAATCACAACGTTTTGAATTTTTGTATGCATCAAAAATGCAATTCAAACAAATTCTCATGCTGGCATCATAATAAGTTAGTAAGTTACAAAAACAATCACCACCCCAAATAAAGATATTAACAACTTAAAAATATAAAGTAAATTATAAACTTAGACTCGTAAAAATTCATTATCAAAGTTCTTTCACTTGTTGCATGAGTTTTTTATGCTTTTTAGGATCAAATTTTCCGAATAATTTATCTAAAATGTCCCTTCGTTCGATAGTTCCCCGCTTAATATTCAACGTATAGTTAATCCAAAGATCCGCTTGGCTATTGAGTAACCTCTGGAAAAAAAAAAAAAACTCTGAAAATATTGAGGTTCATGTGCTATTAACAAAAATTGAAATATTGTTAAGTTGTAATACGCATTTTGCAGTAAAACACTAGTAAATGAAGATAAATTTACAGTCGATTGCAAACAGAAATTATAAAGTTATAACGGTAACAGTAATGGAATGAGAATGTAAATCAACCCAACTTTTTTGCATTCTCTATGTACCCACATTCCCCTCGGATCCACAGTAACACTAGACTTATACCCCGGCCACTTGATTATGTGGAACTTTAACACCATGTCCTTTGCTTAACATCCATTCTTCTAGGAAACCTGCAAGAGAGAGAGAGAAGAGAGAGAGAGAGAGAGAGGAGAGAGAAGAGAGAGAGAGAGAGAGAGAGAAGAGAGAGTTAGATAAATGATACCATCAGACGCGGTATAATTTAGAAAGCGAGCTAGATAACTCATACGTAATTAGTTTACTAATTACTAATTAATAATTACTAAATACTAATTATGTGACCCACCTGAGGCCCCACATGATAACGATGGCGTACAAAGCAAACACCACTGCTGTGGGTGCAGCAATATTGAACATGTACCCAATCCCTTGATCCGGAAAAGCACTCTCAGCTAAACTCACTAAGTATGGACCAACCCCTGATACGTACACTGAAATAAAGCTGAGTTAGAAATTGCTATTTATAGTAGTACAAGGATCGAGATATAAATATAGAAGATAAGTTAATTCTAGTATATTTTATAAAACCCTTTGACAACGAATTCATATCCCAAAGAGATATATTCAAGCCATAATAAGCGTGACCTAGAAAAACAACATTACTTACCTTACAAACCTATTACCTAAGATATATATAATGCGTGCATAGTAAGCTGGAAACAAATTCAGGTTCCAAATAAATGACTTCAGTTTCTGTAGTACGAGACCAAACCCTAATGTACTACAACACATCGGAGAAATGCAATACCCTCTCAGTTAAACTAAAACTGTTGTCAACCAAATAAATCGGGTTTGAATCTATTAATAGTTTAAAGAACCTGCGAGTGGAACACAGGTAAAGAAGGCCTGGTAAAGAGGACATTTGTTCTTCTTTTCTTCGTATAGCACAATGACATCCTTCTTTGTCTTCTTCTTCCCTTTCTTCGGTTGTGGCTTTAATTTACCTGCTAGGCATTGGGTTGGTTGGACAATGAAGTTGCTGCAAAAATAAAGGCACCAGAGTGTTGAAGTATGGTTAAGAATTGATAGTCTAATTTTTTTGCCACTAATTTAACTGTGAAACGATAATCTACATCATAATATGACGCAAGAATAACTATTTTGATAATTTGAGAATTGCGGATGTTTGTACCGTAAGTCGTAAACTATATAAAACGTTCAATGGAAACGGGACGATAGTTGAATCAAACAAGCGTAAAATTATGAGTTACAGTGAAAATACGGCAAGTGTATCAGCACGAAGCCACGCAGGCCGATATAATAATAACTTTAAAATACCTTACAGTTACTTTAAAAAGTATAAATACCTATACTATGACATAACAGTAGTGTAGAACCTGATATATACCTGTACTAGCAGTTGACAAACAATAGTGAAGCTATAAGAGCGGGTAGCCAGCAGCAGAGGTGGCGGTTCCAAGTATCGTGAAGAGGGAGAGGAGGAGAGAGTTGAAGTATCACGTGATATTATGAAGGAGCAGTTGAAGGTTGGTCCACGTGGTTCGAGTCCGGATAGAGGTACTAGGTTGATCCCTCTCTGGACCGCAGGGCTCCAAACAGATCAAGAAACCATGAAATAGCGATATTGAGGAAATTTCAATTTATGGCATGACGTTCACAAAGAGGTTATTAATTTGTAATAATATAAGAGTTCGTAAACTTTCTTCTAGTTTTTGTACGGCTGGGTGGATTTATTCTAAATTAAAGTAGAAACACCTTTAAACGCAATGTTTAAGATATGATCAGAAAACTGTTCAATAATGAATGTATAGAAGATTTTGATCTGGCCAATAAAAAACCGCACCAAATGTTAAACGCTTTCAGTCAGCTCTCAGCGATAAAAACAGAAACTCAGAACTCCAATTAAAACCTCGCAAACACCCCATCAACCGACACAACCCATCTTGGTTTTATAACTCGAGTTTTTAAAGGTAGATAACTCTCAATCTTCCTCCTGATACTTTTTGGGGTTGTGCTGATAATTCCTCTTATCTCTAGCCATGCTTTGTAATCAACACCGTGATCACCCACCCAACCTCTCCACAACTCACACTCCACCGGAGAGAAGTGCCTGATGACTGGGGCTGTGTTCTTTGATTGCTCCACGAACTTCTTCACCACTTCCGTTTCTTGGTAATCGGAGATGTCAGCAAATTCCACTTCTCCCTCCGTGGTTCCCACTTTTTGTGGTGGGTGTTCTATACGCGGCGTTGGGGTCCGCCACTAGACCCAGGTCTGCAAAGTTTTCTCTGATGGTTTTGGATTTGTCCCAGGCTTCTCGGACAATGTCATTTTTAATGACGACATGGTGCTTTTTGTTGTACTGCTTCTTTTCGGAACATTCCGTAGTGGTTTTTTTTCGACGTAACAAAACGACGCTTGTACGCTTCTTCCTCGTACTGTGACCATGACTACTGTGTGAGGAGGGTTAGGAAATGATTTTTAAAATCTAATTACATTTATTAATTTGTTAACATGGGGTCATAGTGATGTCATAGTCCAACTTGGTTACGAAGCACTGAAATATTTAACTAGGCGGAAGTTGAGTGATCTCACTTTCAAAAGTGTTTTCAATTTTGTATTAAAATTAACTGATAGATATTATGTATTATATTACATAATAAGCTTGTGACTGAATGTAGAAAACTGTAACAATATAAGACATAGAAAACCGAAAGATCAACAATTTATCAGATTACTTGTTCTAAAAAAAAGCGGGCATGATTTACCGCAAATTCCCCTATCGTTAATTAAATAAAGAACACACCAGTCATAAATTTACAAAAACTATGCTATAAATATTGGGTTTTCTCTGATCCCAAGGTATATTATCAAAGTCTTTTTCTAGCAACAAGTTTCCACAACAAGTCCTCGTTATGCAGCTCTCCCTTGTTACAGCTGGAGTACGTACTCCTTGTTTACTACTTTTAAATACACCCCTGAAAGATAAAAACATTTTAAGTTCAGGACTACAAGCATCAGCAAGACAATCTATGAAAGTTTGAAAAGTGACGTTAAAATTATACAAAATAATAATTATCATTAATTATGAAGTTCTCTAATATGATATTTAAGTTGCATAACTAACTGGAAGTTTCGTTGACAGAATCATCAAACACCACCTCGCCCTGTCTGAAACTATTAGTAATAGGCCTGCCTGAAGCTCCAATAGTGGTGAAGAACAGTCTCTTGTGAGCAGTGGAGTACTCCAGATGTCTCACTTGTCGGCGCCCAAGAAATGATACCGCCCGCGTACCACCCCGCGAAGAAGAATGCTGCAGACGCTAACATGAACTTGGGTATCTTGAAGTCCCAGCCTAGGTCGAGGAAGTTAAATGCGAGAGGTAAACCTGAGGGAGTTGATTGGTGATTAGATGGGGATTGTACGGACTGTTAAAATGTGATAACAGTATCAGAACAACAGCAAAAGTTGTATTAAATGTTATTGCAACAACTATTTCATCTAAAAAGCTATGATATAAAAATAGTCACTGACGAGAACCAATATGTACGGTTGGTGCACAAAGAACAATTACCAACAATTCTCTAACAGTAAAGCGATTGTACAAAATACGGTATACAATTTGCGGTTGGGCGTAATTTCTGATCCCCACCGTATTATAGTCTCTATGTGCCAATTTGCCATTGGCCTCCCTTAAACTTACCCACTAGCCACATAGAGACTCCACATATCCTAGATCATCCACTAATTCATATCCGTTTAAAAAGTAAAATCCGTCTATCAGCTGTATCTTTATTCACAGGTTTCTTCACATTTTTCTTTACAGTTTTTGTGGTTGATTTGACGGGTTTAGCTGAAATATAGAAAGTTCAGATGGTACTACGTGCTAACTACTACAACAATTGCACATAAATACAATAATGATGAATAAATACAATAATCTAACAAAATGTTATATTAACGATAATCATCGATTATTTTATTCACTAACTAAAATAATCAGTAAACTAAAATATCAGTCTAACTAAAATATCAGCTAACAAAAATACCAGTGTTATGTTAAATTGTACACAGATGGAAAGTGGGTGAGAACTAGCTGTGCCCACTATTTAAGGCCACTCTTATTTTAATATACTGTATAAAAGCCAAAGCTAAACACCCAATTCCCTACAGATTTGCCAGGAAAATACATACCAACTAAAATGGGGAGGGAAGCGATTTACATCTGACAACGAGTTTGTTTGTTGATCTGATTAAGTCCTGGAGGTGTCGGTGGGTGTGAACCACCCCTCTTGACAAATCATCAATCCACATCTTCTGCTAAACAAACTTACAAGTTATTGTTAATATTACCAATAAAATAAAAACACATAATAACAACATTAAAAGTTTCACTTTAGCTTCATGGATGTACCAACATAGATTAATTATTTTCTAACACTTTACTGAATCAAGAGCCTAAGCCAAAACACTTTACACACGGAAGGTTGTTGGTCCTATTAATTAACACACTATGGATGGTTCAAGAGTAAGAAAGATACGTATCAAGGTAGAAATGTACACGAAACAATCTGTAACCACATCAAGCGTGTGTACATGATAACGAGTGTGGAACTGACAGCTTCCCCTCCCTCTCCCATACTCTCTCTCTATCGGCCACCTCTCTCTCTCTGTGTGTGTGCTAATTGTATGAAGACATTTGACTCAGTTGTTTGATATTTAGACCTCTGAAGTTTGTGTGGTTGCTGCCCTTTAGTTTGCAAAGCAAATTGTGGTTAAAGATTGTATTCGGTACATTCAACACTGATACGTCATCAGTCTTACCTCCCATGACCACCATAGTGTGTAATAATAGACCCAACCTACTCGTGTTAAATGTTTTGGCTTAGGCTTCTTGATACAGTAAATGATTAGAAATAATTAAATCCTATTTTGGTACATCCATGAAGCAAGTGAAACTAATGTTGTTATTTAAGTATTTATTTTATGTGTAATATTAACAATAACATGTAAGTGTTGTAGCAAAGATGTGATGAATGATTTTCCAGAGCTGTTCACACCACCGACCCCTCCAACTCTAATCAGACTCAACAACAACTCGCTGTCAATGTATATCTCATTCCTCCCCACTTTAGGTGTATGTATATGCACTGGCAAATCTGGTAGGAAATTGGGTGTTTAGCTATGGCTTTTATCCAGTATATTATAATAAAGTGGCCTTAAATAGTGGCATCAGCTAGTCCCCCACTTTCCCCATCGTGTACAATTAACATAACACTGGATATATAGTAGCTGATAATTTTAGTAGCTGATATTTTATTTTACTGATATTTTAGTTAGCTGATAAATTAAACATGATAACCGTTAATATCACATTTAGTAGATTAATTGTATTTACATCATATAGTAATTATGTGCAATTGTGTAGTTAGCACTTAGTAACCTCCAGAAATTTCAATATTTCAGCTAACCCGTCAAATCAACCAAAAAAAAAACAAAAAACTGTAAAGAAAAATGTGAAGAAACCTGTGAATAAAGAATCAGCTGATAGCCGGATTTTACTTTTTAAACGAATAAGAAATTATTGGATATCTTCAGGATATGTGGAGTCTCTATGTGGCGAGTGGTAAGTTTTTTTAAGGAGCCACATGGCAATTGCCACATAAGAGACTATAATACGGGATCATAAATTCCGCCCAACCGGCAAATTGTATACCGTATTTGTACAAATCGCTACTGTAGAATTGTTGGTAATTGTGCTTTGTGCACGAACATATTGTTCTCGTCGTGACTATTTTTATATCATAGCTTTTTAGATGAAATAGTTGTTGCAATAACATTTAATACAACTTGCGTGTTCTGATTCTGTTATCACATTAACATCCGTAACATTCCCCATCTAATCACCAATCAACTCCCTCAGGTTTACCTCTCGCATTTAACTTCCTCGACCTAGGCTGGGACTTCAAGATACCCAAGTTCATGTTAGCGTCTGCAGCATTCTTCTTCGCGGGGTGGTACGCGGGCGCGCTACTCATCTGGGGCCGACAAGTGAGACATCTGGAGAACTACACTGCTCACAAGAGACTGTTCTTCACCACTATTGGAGCTTCAGCAGCCTATTAACTAATAGTTTTCAGACAGGCGAGGTGGTGTTTGATGATTCTGTCAACGAAACTTCCAGTTAGTTATGCAACTTAAATATTATCTGGATATTAGAGAACTCCATAATTAATGATAATTAATTATTTGTATTAATTTAAAGTCACTTTTCAAACTTTCATAGATTGTCTTGCTGAAGCTTGCTAGTCTGAACTTAAAATGTTTTATCTTCAGGTGTAATTAAAAGTATACACAAGGAATACGTACTCCAGCTGAACAAGGGAGAGCCTTGCATACCGAGGACTTGTTGTGGGAAACCTTGTTGCGAAAAAGACTTTTGATATTAATTCCTTGGGATCAGAGAAAACCCAAAAATTTATAGAATAGTATTTTTGTAATTTACTGAATTGGTGTGTTCTTTATTTAATTAACGATAAGGGGGAATTTGCGTAAATCATGCCCTTTTTTTAGAACAAGTAATACTTGATTAAAATTGCTTGGATATTTCGGTTTTCTATGTCTTATATTGTTACTGTTTTCTACATTCAGTCACAAGCTTATTATGTAATATAATACATAATATCATCAGTTAATATAATACAAAATTGAACAACACTTGAAAAGTTGAGATCACTCAACTTCCGCCTAGTTAAATATTTCAGTGCTTCGTAACCAAGTTGGACTATGACATCACTATGACCCCACTGTTAACAAATTATAGAATGTAATTAGATTTTAAAACATTCCTAACCCTCCTCACACAGTAGTCATGGTAACAGTACGAGGAAGACAGCGTAACAAGCGTCGTTGTACCGTCCGAAAAACCAACTACGAAAGACCAAAAAGCCAGTACAACAAAAAGCACCATGTCGTCATTAAAAATGACATTGCCCAGAAGCCTGACAAATCCAAAACATCAAGAAAAACTTTGCAGACCTGGTCTATGGCGACCCCAACGCCGCCGTATAGAAACCACCCACCACCAAAAAGGTGGACCCCCGAGGGAAAGTGGAATTGCTGACATCTCCGATTACCAAGAAACGGAAGTGGTGAAGAAGTTCGTGAGCAATCAAAGAACACAGCCCCAGTCATCAGACACTTCTCTCCGGTGGAGTGTGAGTTGTGGGATGGGTTGGTGGGTGATCACGGGGTTGATTACAAAGCCATGGCTAGAGATAAGAGGAACACTTATCAGCACACCCCAAAACAGATCAGGAGGAAGATTGAGAGTTATCTAACGTTTAAAAACTCGAGTTAAAAACCAAGATGGGCTGTGTCGGTTGAATGGTTTTGCGGAGTTTTATTGGAGTTCTGAGTTCTGTTTTTATCGCTGAGAGCTGACTGAAAGCGTTTAACATTTGGTGCGGTTTTTATTGCAGATCTAACTTATTATACATTCATTATTTGACAGTTTTCTGATCATTATCTTAAACAAGGTCGTTTAAATGTGTTTCTAACTTTAATTTAGAATAAATCCACCCAGCCGTACAAAAACTAGAAAGTTTACGACCTCTTATATTATTACAACTTAATAACCACTTTGTGACGTCATGCAAACATGAAAATTCCTCAATATCGCTACTTTCAAGTTCTTCATATCTGTTTTTGGCAGCCCGGCTCAAGAGGGATAAACCTACGTACTCTACTCCGGACACGAGACCACGTGACCAACCTTACAACCTGCTCCTTCATAATATCACGTGATACTTCAACTCTCTCCTCCTCTCCCATCTTCAGATCACATGACCCGCCACCACTGCTGCTGCAACCCCCGCTCTTATAGCTTCACATTGTTTATCAACTGCTAGTACAGGTATATATCAGGTTCTACACTACTGTATATCACTAGTATAGGTATTTATACTTTTTAAAGTAACTGTAAGGTATTTTAAAGTTATTATTATATCGGCCTGCGTGGCTTCGTGCTGATACACGTGCCGTAATTTCACTTAACTCCATAAATTTACGCTGTTTGATTCACTATCCGCCGTTTCAATTAACGATTTATATAGTTTACGACTTACGAGTTACCAACATCGCTAATTCTACAAATTATCAAAACTAGTAATATCTGCATCACTATTATGATGTAGATGATAGTTTCACAGTTAAATTAGTGGCAAAAATTATGACTATCAATTCTAAACCATACTTCAACACTCTGGTGCCTTTATTTTTGCAGCAACTTCATTGTCCAACCATCCCAATGCCTAGCAGGTAAATTAAAGCCACAACCGAAGAAAGGGAAGAAGAAGACAAAGAAGGATGTCATTGTGCTATACGAAGAAAAGAAGAACAAATGTCCTCTTTACCAGGCCTTCTTTACCTGTGTTCCACTCGCAGGTTCTTTAAACTATTAATAGATTCAAACCCGATTTATTAGGTAGACAACCAATTTTAGTTTAACTGAGGGTATTTGCATTTCCCGTAGTGTTTTAGTACATTAGGGTTTGGTCACGTACCAACAGAAGTCATTTATTTGGAACCTGAATTTGTTTCCAACTTACTATGCGCGCATTATAAGATAACTTAGTAATAGGTTTTTAAGGTAAGTAATGGGTTTTTTCTAGGTCACGCTTATTGGGCTTGAATATATCTCTTGTGGGATATGAAATCGTTGTCAAAGGGTTTT